CTTCCTTTCCCATTTGTAACACAATAGGGTTACCTTGGGCAGTGTAGGAACGACAGGTCCAAAACACACATTGGTAAGGAATTTGACCTGGATTGTAACTTTAGTTATCCAATCAGTTCTAAGTTGTCACTTAATCAATGGAACACAGTTCGATATCGTCGTTTTTCATTTATGTCGGTAGCTATCATATAAGTGAAACATCATCGATGGTAATCTCATTTCAAATCCCTTTGCTCATCCAAACTAGTATACTAGACCAAGAACTTCAAGTCTCGGGAGTAATCCGGATTAATATCATGAGATGGAAATGATTTGAGACAACGATCAAGTTTAGATTCATTGTTGTGCCATATCTTCCTCTTCTAGGGAAATGAATCCTATGAACCGAATGATCTATCGTGCTCCAGGCCAAGATAGATTGATTGGTTATCCACCGGTATACCGGACCGTCCAAGGGACTTCCAAACCATCCAACAGGGTGGCACCCCCTCCAGGGATGTTGACTCGACGTCTGTTAAGTACGTTTATCCTTGCAGGCATCTTGTCACTTTAACTAGATCAGAAGAATGCTTCTGGAGTAACATTCTGAAAGCTAGAATTCATCGCACTTGCTTATCACACTTGTGCGGTATGAGGATCGAGATGAGACATAGTGGGCAACGTCCATGCAAATTCGCCCCATTCTCCAAGAACGCTGACATTCTTATCTCCCCCTAATGGCGGGAAAACTGTCTCATTAAAGTGACAACCCGCAAATGAGCGGTAAAGATATCGCATGCAAGGGCTCGAAGAGAGCTAATGTGAAGGAGAATCATGATCGACAAAAGATACAAATCCTTTTTTAAAGACCCATGATGGTACGCTGCGGTGGCGCAACTTAGCACATGGAATGCTTACCTAAATGCGTAAACACGAAAATCGTCAGGTTCATACCTAGTAACCAATTGTAACGTCATATAGGTTGGGTGGCAATGGGCCTCAATGCGGACCAACATAACTGCGTACAAGATTGCATAGCCCTAAGCAGAAACCAAAAACTTGGTACATTTATCAAAATCCGGGTGATCATTTAAATTGCGCTTTATGATTACTAGGCGAGGCTATTTGGGGTGAACATGGGAATTCAATATTCGATTATAAACCCAAAATATATATAATACTTTATTGAAAACCGTTGATATGCACTCTCTGGTATTATCCAGTCTTCCGGACCTTAAGGGATAAGTAAGGTGGTGAACCCTTAATCGGCCAAGAGGTTTAGCAACAATGTGTGTGGACAAACATGGGACCAGTTTGTCGATTCATCAACCAAAACCATAAGTATTTATATGGTCCACATTTTGGTTAGATTAGTCCACATATATTCCCTTGAATCCACTGTAAAAAGAGTGATTTTGTATATTTGCGAGAAATGATATAGAAAATCAATTTCCCTAATGAGTAGTCTTGGCAAAGTGTGCTTGTAGGCACGAGATCCTTGCTTCGGGTAAGAAGATGCGTTGTAGCATCATTGTTCGACCTAAATGTCCCAAATGGTCGTGCCAAAGCAAGTAAACTGCTCAATCACCGGGCTTCAGGCCAGCCACATGTGGTGCATTCCCAGTTGGGAGACAACGTATTGGCCCTAAATTAAAGCTTCAGGCTCATTTTTAGAGGTGGTGCAAATATATTTCACTATGTTTTCTTTAGTGGTTCATTTATGATCATTGTCATCTCGAATATCCTTAAAAACTCAACCTGATGGAGAATTTAAGATCTTAAATGGTGATTCAATACTATTCATACAACGAGAAGCGTGCCGATGCTCTTAATCAGGTTGGATAGACCTGAAGTCGCTGTTAGATATGTGATTTAAGTGTAAAGTTAGTGTGCGTAGTACACATTCATCCAGAGAACTAACTTTCCCACATTCCTACCTAATCACGTGTTTAATTGAATCGGTCACATGTATTAAGAAACATGATTCAATTAACTCATATTCGAGGACAATATCAATAAGATTGTCCCTAAGTAAAACATACACCAAACGTGAATCCAAGAACATGGAAAAATGTTCACAAAGTAAATGGTTTACTAAGGGGCTTCGGCCAACAAGGCCATCCATGTCAAAATTCTGCTCTTCCAACGGTGTTTGGTGGAGCAAAATTAGTCTCAGATATTGACTACTAGAATGGTACTCCTCAACAACATTGGTAGGGGTATGAACAAATGCATAACCAATGATCTATTCCATCAAGACGGAAGTAAATTTTGTAGGGTTGAGGTTTGGGAATACTATCCCTTATTCTTGAAGTTTTAGGTCTTAGGTACCAAAGATCATGCTTCGGGCATGATGCCACACCTTGGCAAGCCCTGATTCTACCATATGTTATAAAAACAAACTAGAAATTGGATTATGAGAGAATATGTCATTCGGTGGATCCCTACCAAAGCAGTGCATCACCATTAGGTAGGCTTTGCCCGAACTGGGTCTAGCTATTCACTAGACTCCAACCGAATTGGGTCTATACCTTTCTCTCACGTTTGTGGTAGTAATCAGATTCGAGAATTTGGTAAACTTCCGCTTTCTACATTGCTGCTTCAGGGGCGAGTTAGAAACATGGAAGGACGAGAAAAGTATTCTCCAATCAAAATTCGATCGGATTTATGACTTTAGAATCATGGTGTACTTCAGGTAATGTTTTTCATGATTAGACAGTCCGTAGGAACGAGCCAAAGAGCCATGGAATCCTCGATCGGGAGGTATTTCCATTTGCAATGCTTTGAGTATAAGTCTTCGAATGAAGATATGGCAGAGGCTTATTCAGCTTTTCCATGCCATTTTTTGCTACAATGGTTTCTCAGCTTCTCGATAGTCAAGTGGATATTCACGTCTTGTACCCCACATAAAGTGGTTTCTTTTACAAACATCCAAATAAGGGAAATTGAACTTGTGATAGTTTGACAATTCACCAAATTGGAGGGAACAAGGTTGTGATTGGTGCTATGGGAATGAATCATCCATAAGCATCAAAGTTAGAACATTCGAGTTCTAAGACATGGTTTTCATGAAAAATGTTGGGTTTTCATGGGTGTATTGTTTTATGAAAACTTCAGGTTTCAAAGGCACCAAATTTGAAACTATAGGTTCAATTTAGTTTATGAACGTTTAGTTTGTAAAATAGAGGTTCCTGCAAGAACACATAATGCAATATACAACTAAGTGTAGTGGATTTGAGTTTCTTCAGGAACTCAAGTATGAGAGCTTCAGGACTACGAACGTAAGTCAACAGTTCAAAGTATAAAAATAAATTATTGAATCGTTAATGTCCAAAAGTAATCTTCAGGTCAATAATTTTGGATTCATTTTCAGATTAATGGACTGCAAGTCACTTTTAATTAATTCAATAAATCGGGCCATACATGGTTTATTGTAGAAGCAAAATAATATTAACATACGGGTTAAAATTATTTAGAATGCTAAAATAATAGCATTTGGGTCGAAAAATATTGCCCCAAAAATAATTGGGCTCGGGTTAGGTGCCTTGAGGAAAAGACAAGGCCCTAAATGGCCTTGGGAGTGGGTTGTAGGCCACGGGGGTGAGAGAGAAACCCCAGCCGTAGCTGGGTTTCAAGGTTGGGCCAAGGGGATGGCACGGGACAAGTCCCAGCAGATTTGATGGCCTGTTAATGCACTGAAGCCCAGCCATAGGGGCTGGCGTCATGCAGGGACCAAACCCATGTATATGGGTTGATACTGGAGTAGGCAATAAGCCTTGGTGCAAGCGGAACAGTGGCCTAGCAAGCATGACAGCTTGCTGGCATGGGCCGAGAGCAAAGGGGGGTCCAAAAAGAAAAGTTGCAGACTTCCTTGATGATTGGGGACTATGGGCCCGAGACAACCCAACCAGGCCAAAGGCCTGAGGTGTGCATATGCTCGCAGCAAAGCTGCAGTCAAGGTCCATGCGAATGCAGCAAAGCCCAGAGGGCTGCTGCCCAGTTTGTGCCGCAATGGGTGGTGCCATACCATATCCAAATTCCCACAATTTTTCAACATAGGTAGGGTTTAAGAAACCCTAGAATTGCTTCTAATTTAATTTGATATTTTGACTTACATATTCCACATAACAATTTAATTATGCGATGCATGAAACAAATATATATATTGACAAATATATGAACATATACAATATATATATATATATATATATATATATATATATATCAGAAGGAAAATATAAACATAGGGGAGTTCATGCATCATGGAGAATGTTTTCATGCTTCAAGCTCGTTTCAAATATTTTACTTTATTTTAAGCGTACCTAATTGGCAGAAAATGACAAAAACCTTTGAATTTGTAGAAAATTCTTCTCAGAAAGCCGGAATTGCATCTCCAATGCGTTGTATCACGTTCAACACAGAAAAATGAAATTGAATCAATATCATGTAGATCAATTCAATAAAATAATTAATTAATCATAAGAAGAATGATTACGTAATACTCCCCTGATTGAAGATCAAACTCTCTTGTTAGCGTAGTGTCAAGAGCGTGCTGATAACGTGTTGTAAGCATAATTTACTAAACAATTATGGAGGCCATAGAGAGATGGGGAGAGTGCGGCTAGAGAGAGAAGATGAGAGATGTGTAATCGTAGATGTGTTCTATTCCACCTCATTGTGCCTTTAATTATAGTAGTAGGATGGGTAAAAAAATTTCCCTTTATGATTACAACATTTAATAGGTAATCAACTTCTAATAGGAACATAAGAGATATTCCAAAATATACTAGGATTTACACAACTACATCGCTAATCTAATAGGACTGCAACAATACTCAATTTATTATAAATTGTTCATGAAAAACTACAGTATTAAATATTAAAAATTTATAAATACTCTACCACTCAACTTTCCGCACACCTACATTTAAAACTTATTTGTAAACCCAAAAGAAAATATGAAAAAGAAAAAGACTAGTTTATGTTTGACACGCGCCTTGGATGCGTGTGACCATGGATACCGAGTAAAGGATCTAGAACGTTCGGCACATTCCAGAGTTTTGACCAACAAAAATATAACATTCCAGAGTTCCAACCGATCGCCTCAACAAAACGACTGCTTCGGGAAGCTTAGTACAGCAACGCGGTGACGCCATCGGAACTTAACAATGACGGCGCTAACCACAATCACCACTCAAATTTAAAACACTTTAACAAAATTATCCAAACTGTTCCGTTACTTAACCCCCAAGACTAGCACCACTTCGCTTACTCCGTAAGCCACAAGTCTGCAAAACATACCTCCCTCCTATAAATACGTCCCCTCTAACTTCCCAACTCTCATTCCATCCACTTCGAGCATCAGCAAGAACAACCTTAAAAGTTTCGAAAACACTCACACAAATCTCATCCACTTCCAAATCTTTCCTTTCCAGCTTACTTCTTCGCTTTGCTCCTGCGAGCTGAACCCTAAACCCGAAACCTTAAACCCGTCAGCCATGAAGAGAAGCAGGCAAGACGAGACCTTAGACTTGGTCAATTGCCTAATGCTTTTGTCCAGGGAACCCGATTCCTCCCCAATCAAACACGAGAACACGAACAAAGACCGAGTTTTCGTATGCAAGACGTGTAATCGGGAGTTTCCCTCGTTCCAGGCCCTCGGAGGCCACAGAGCAAGTCACAAGAAGCCGAAGCTGATGCCCGGTGGGGCTGCCGACCTTTTACATTTGGCACAGTCAACGGGGTCGCCGGTTAAGCCCAAGACGCACGAGTGCCCGATTTGCGGGCTTGAGTTTGCGATTGGGCAGGCGCTTGGAGGACACATGAGGAGACATAGGGAGGTCATGCAAGCTGCGGCTGTTCGGACTCAGGCGTCACCGCCGATGCCGGTTTTGAAGAAGTCGAATAGCAGCAAAAGGGTGTCGTGCTTGAATCTGGACTTGAATTTGGATTTACATTTGGCACCACCGGGTTATCACCAATATGATTTGACGAAGCTGCAGTTGATTTCTTAATTTGTTACATGTTTAATTTATCTTTTTCTTCCTCCATTGGCGTTGACATACATATAGTTTTAGTTTTGATGTATATTTATTCCTATAGATCATAGTCAGATTTTTATCTTTTATTTTCTGATTCGATGTTTATATTGAAACATAGAAGAGGTATTGGATTTGTTTTCGTGATCATTTGGGAACATATTTTGTTCTTAATTTTATGAGACTTTGTATTATATATTTCGTAACACTTATGCTATATTTGCATTCTTTGTTTTTAATTTTTTATGTATATTTCTAATTGGGATGATTTTTTTTAAATTATTATTATCCAAAAAAGGGCAGACAATTTGAAAATATTATAATAATTTAAAAGATGAGTTTTGAAATCAGGATGCATGAGTAGAATTCTATAAGATGATTTATAAATTATTTTTATAATAAATCTCTATACTTGATGATAATATTAGAAAAGAGTTCGAGCTAATTAATATTAAAAAAAACAGACAATACTTGCATTTGGCTCTTAAGGAAATGAGCTCGCTCCCCACTTTGACTTGGACCAATACAATATTGGTACATGTTCATTCTTTTAAAAAGAAAAACACAAGAAAAAATAACATACACAAACTCGCTCAAGACCTAACGCTGTATATAAGTGCCCAAGTTTATCCGTTCATTGCAATCAATTGTATGATAATATTACAAAAGAGTTCGAGCTAATTAATATTAAAAAAAAAACAGACAATACTTGCATTCGGCTCATAAGGAAATGAGCTCGCTCCCCACTTTGACTTGGCCCAATACAATATTGGTACATGTTCATTCTTTTAAAAAGAAAAATACAAGAAAAAATAACTTGCACAAACTCGCTCAAGACCTAACGCTGTATATAAGTGCCCAAGTTTATCCGTTCATTGCAATCAATTGTATTTTGCAAGTGAAAAAATGCAACACTAAACCAACAAACTCTCCATTTGTGAGAGTTTGCAGAGGAATGTTTATCATATGTAGGTTTATTTTTGTTATGAAAATAGGCTATTTCATGACTCAAACATGTGGCATTTTAATCACAAAAGAGTAAACTAGATATAAGTTCATTTTATGTGAGCCTTATTAGGAATAGTCCACTCTATTGAAAAGGGTCCAATAATTATGATTCCAAGTCATCTTATTGTTACTTTCATTCTTAATTTACGCGTAAGTAATTAATAAATTAATTAGATACTCTTCCTTAATTGTAAGATTAGCTTATTAAATATTATCCTTTCAATTAATTGCATAAGTTTCGTCTTTTCCTTTAATTTCTCCAACTGATTTGGGAATTCTCTCCTCCATTTTCTTTGCGAGTAATGCTCTCCTAATGTCCTCATTTTTTAGGACTCATGAGTACCAAATGCATATTAGCTACAAGATTATATTAATTTAGATCTATGGCTTAAAATATTTGAAAACTTAACATCACCATTTAGGGACTTCCACCACCACTTTTGAGTACTCATTTAAGGACTTAAAGGAAATCTTTGTGTCCCTAAAGGAATATTGCCTTCAGTGGTAGAGTCCTTATAATAGAACCCCTAACTTTGAAGTTTTTATAATTTTATGTAATAATTTGATTAACTGCACATTTTTTGTTTATGTTAACTTTTTTTTTAATTAATTAAAATTATTAAAAACAGTAAAATCTTCAATCATGATTATGAGCCTCGTTTTCCACTTAAGGTACACATTTTTTGTTTATGTTAACCATATTTTAATTAATTAAAAGCATTAAAAGCTTCAATCAAGATTGTGAGCCTAGTTTTTTCACTCAAGGTTGTCCCTATACACTCCCTACATGTAATGACAGATACTATGTATCTAGTAAGTCCCTATACTTTAGGGACTCACTTTCCGATCCATTGAAAATTTATTTTGTCTCTATATTTATTTTATATACTCATTTTATACGGTGATTGTCTCTATTTAGGAACTCCACTTGAGATGCTTTTAATAAAAGCAAAACAAGAAAATGAGTTTTCTAATAGTTGATGAATTTTAAGTTCGTTTTATTTTATTAAGTTGTCAAATATTTTAATCTTTTGGAGCTAAACGTATATACTCTTGTGGCTAATATGCATAGGTCCTCAAAATCAGGACCTTAGGAGAACATAACTGTTTCTTTGCTTATCTGATTCTCTTCATCAACTCCTTATCTTTTTTTTCTTCAAAAATGTTATTTTTACCATCTAATTGTATCATCTCTCTAACAGAGATAAAACCCACACGTGTTGACGGGCCCTACATAACTCTATAAAAAATATAGTACAAATAGATGGCAAATGTAGCATTACTCTTTTCCTTACTTTTCTTCTTCGTGTCCTCCCTCTTCCCTTTTCTTTTCTAATTCTATCTCCATCTTTCTTTATTTTTTCTTAATTGGATATTCATCGTTTGTTCCTTATTATTTTCTCATAATATCTTCTCTTTCTTTATGTATTTTTTTCTTCACATATCATCTTCTTCCTCATCCATATCCTCCTCCTTTCCTGGGTTTTGTTGGTTTTTCTTATTCTTTTTGTTTTTTGCTGGTGTATCAGTATGCTGCTCTTAATTAAACATGGTATTATCTACCTATAACACATGGGTTTTTTTTGTCTACCTCTACCACATATTTTAGTTTTTCTTTGTTTTATACCTCCATCACAAAGAATATTTGCATAACTTACCTGTATATACATGCATGTCTCAAATTTTCTACCTGTTATATCACAGGTTCATTTTGTAATCTTCCTCCCTCTATTGAAAATCAACTTTATTTTTCTACCTATATAGTAGGCAGATATTTGAAATTAGTTTTATGAAATTATTTTTTGCGTTTGTCCTATAATGTAGCCTATATATGTTATTATACATGCTCTATTTAAATCTTAATATTTTGTCTTTAATAAAAAATTCCTAGATAATACTTTAGTTTGAGTATTTATATATTAAAAAAAATTCAAAATTGAAAATTTGAGCAAATGATACAAAACTAAGTAGTTTTAAATATTTTTATCTGAAACAACAAAATTGGTATCAAAACATGTAATTGGATAAATAGACCCAGTCCCAAAAACAACTGTGTTTTTTGAACTGAATCCAAAAGCCCTCCAAAAAAAATACTGCTGCATAGGAATTTTTAGTGCCAAGTTGTTCATAATCAATGTCTAGGGTTTTGATTTTGATTCCCAAATCATAAAATCTCTTTTATGACTTCGACAACTGTGAAATTCAATTTATTGCTTCTGGGCTTCATTTCTGCACATGTATTGAGCAAAAGCGATTCGAAAATCATGGCGCTGGAGAACAGTTGATGGGAGGGTTTATTCCGTGGAATTTCGGCGTAGATTGCAGTGGTAAAGACCTGCTTGGCAATTTGGCATCGGTTGGAGAGCAATCGTCTCATGTGGATTGGCTGGATTAAAGAGACGTTAGAGATTGTATATTTCCTTTTTAAAAGAAAGAACATGTATGGATAGAGGATTGGTCCTGGTCAAAAGAGGGAACAAACTCAATTCTCTCATGAAGAACGAAAGTATTATCTTAAAAAAATATCAAATAAAAAGAGTTAAAATAGAAAATGAATAAATATTGTAGCACGTGTCAGCTCTTACTCTCCTAGTCCTAGGGATTGTCGGATTTGGATCCTCTCCTGAACTTAAGAGGCTGAGCCTCTTGAGCAAAGCACACGGGCCGTTGGATTTTGATCCAACGGTTACAAACAGGATGCCTTCTAAAAGTTATAATAATTGTAATCGTTTGATCAAAATCCAACAGTTTGTGTGCTTTGCTTAGAAAGCTTAACCTCATAAGTTTAGGAAATGATCCAAATCCAACAATCCCTACGACTAGGAGAATAAGAGCTGAGCTCAGGAGATGATCCAAATCCGGGATTGTCTAGCAAAGATGGCCACTCGACCAATAGGCAAAAGTCAGGGGGAAATGGTTCGAATTTTTTAATATTATTGTCAGGTAGTTCATGTGAGGTTATGCCCTGTAACATGAAGTCGTGTCTTATGTGGTTCCACTGGCCCTTGAGGTCCAGGTGGAGAATAATCCTTTTATAATTATTCTTTGTCGGTGTAATTAAATGCTGGGATGTAGAATTGTATAAAAGTTAAAACTGAATGATTTTGATTGATGGGCAAATCCTTTTATACATACATCACAAATCCGTACTACGCCAGAATGGAATTCCTTGGAGTAATCTATATAAACATATACAAGTGATCTACAAATCTCAAGTGATTACAAAATCTAATTAGGGCTTTATTCTATTATGTTTCTTAATTAAAACTTGATGACTTCGGTAATACAATTTGGTTCGAAGTAGGTGAGGCCCTTAGTGAGGATGCGAATCGGTTCTCCATGAAAGAAAGGTAACGAATATCAATATCATGACCCATTTTGATCTATTCATAACAAAATGATAATTGAGATCAATGTGTTTGGTATGAGCATGAACCTCAAGATTGTCATATAATGTCGACCGCCAAGGGAGCTCAAGAGTTTGGACACATGTATGGCCATGGCGCGATATTCAGAATCGATGCTGGACAAGAAATAGTGTGTTGCTCAAATGAACTTTGAGAAAAGCGATTGGATCCAAGAAATACAAGAAAGCTAGAAGTGGACAGACGAGTATCAGCCCATCCATCCTAGCTGGTCGAACCTGCATAATTGGGGACGAAAGTAAATATACCAAAGTCAATTAAGAGCGCCTTTTGGGGGCAATGAGATGAGTATTGGTTAGATAGAGAAACCCTAAAGTGAGAAACAAGACACACTACATAAGAAAGCAAATAGAGTAAGGGTTGTTGGAAATGATCAACAATCAATAACAAATAATTTATATCTATGAAAATAAATTCGGATAGGCTAATAAATAATAAATACTACTCAATATTTTGACAGATTAGAAACAGTGATCGAGGCTTGCTTACCGCAATATCCTTGAAACAAAATTTTGTCCCTACTCAGTGCTTGTAGTTCGATGGATGTCTGCTTCACCAAGATTCAACGATCAAACCAGAATTCCAGCACCGAAAAACTTGGTTTCTAGCAAATCTTTGTGGTTCTCTCAGCAAGAAGGTTTTGAATTTTAGAAAAAGAATTTGTTTTTCAATGTTCTAAATGTCATGCAGATGGATATATATAATATACATATGCATGTTCGCTATAGGTATGAATATGTGATGCATCTGCTTAGAGGGGTGCGTAGCTCTTGGTGTTCATTCA